ATTTTATAACACTACACAAAACTTATTTAATACTACAAATTCAACAGCATAACGTTTACAATTTGGAACTATATAATATTTAAAAATTAAATACCTACTTAAAATTAATAAATAACATTAATAAATATTTCACTTATTTAACTAAGAAAAAGGTACGTTTTGTTATTCGTTTTATTAATAAATTACATATTTATATGTTTCGTAGATCGCAAATGTTATTGAGGCATTTATTTTGACTATTCTAATTTTTAAGAAATTGTATGATACTATATAAAAGGTAACAGGAAGACCTGACAAATGATTAGTTACTATGATTAGTAAATAATTTAAGAAATATACTCATGTCAGCAAATTCCCAAAAATAATATTTTGAAAAAAGTTATTACATTTAAATTGAATCAAAAAATATTGATATTTAAAAAAATTCTAAAAATTAAACTACCTACTTGACTTAGGTAAATATTTTTACCATAAAAATTCTTCTTATAATCAAATTCACAAATTAGCTATTTTTAATTTATCCAAAAAATTGTAAATCAAATTTTAATTTTTTAATTTTTAGTATTAAAAAATAAAAAAATATTTTTTTTATATTATTCCTGTAGAGCAAGTGGCTATAAATTATATATAAAAAAAATTAAAAATATTAATTAGAACAAAAGTTATATCATCTGTCAGGTCTTCCTGTTACTTTTTGTGTATAGTTAGTAATTTATATGCTTAGTTTGTATTTTACATAAATTATAAGAAAAAATATATGCTGATATTTATTTCTTGGTATTATACTAATATATATATTGACTGCTTATACAATATACATGTACCAACTTGTCTACAACTTACAGCTTAACTAAAACTTATATATTTCAATTTTACTATTTTTATCTAGCGAATATCTAATAGCTTAGGTACACAATTTTTTTAGTAATCAAACCGTTTATTTCCAATTTGCAAATTTATTTTATTAATATATCACGTTTATATTAATTTAAATGATAATAATAAAATGAATACTGTAATGGAATATTATTACTGTAACCAAACAATATTTTATGTAAAATCGTATTTGATAATTAACTATCTAAAATTAACGATCAAAATGAATACTAAATACTTCAGTGTTTTATATTTTATAATTTTCATTAGGTACAAATAACCTAATAAATTCAAATATAATATATTTTAATACAATTAATATTCAAAATATTACTATATAATTAGGTATTTCAAATAATTTAATTATAATATACCAACTGTATTATCATAGGTAGTTTTATACCTGTATAAATTGTAGATCTAGCGACTATCATATATTATAATGTATTATACTGATATTGTACTACCCACTTTGCAATAGATACTAGGGGTCCGTGCATGTTATCATTATGTAAAAGTAGTTAGGTACTTGTTGTAAATGCTATTGTATTACCTAGTACCTATGTTTAAATTATAATACTCCTAGAATACTTTTAAGCTTAAATTTATAATATTATTGTAAAACACTGGTAATAAATAAACATTGTACATCAGTTATCTAAGCTTTGATTGATTATTTAAAATAAAAACAACTCCAAGGATGCATTCATCACTATTGTCCACACGATGGTTTATTATTTTGTTTCATCGGCAGTAATTAATAAAGAAACCTCTAGCATATAGACATATGTGTTTTTTTGTCGAGTTTTGTATTGGTAGAGATCTTTGAACCTGGCGAAAAATCGGTTTGGCCTTTAGGCACCTGCATTCTTTTGGATTACTCCCTTGTGGTTGGCTCTCATTAGACCGAGTTGCCTCCGGTGGCACATACTCATGATATACATGAGTAGCTTTGCCACGATCGCCGTAGTCACGACGAGGATGGAAAAAAAGAAGAAAACCCGTTCGCAATATTTCTTATTAAACAATCAATCTCAATTTTACCATCTACCACGTTTTTCATGTTATTTTTATTGTATGCAAAATTTGTTCTACTTTTTTCTGATATCCACCCACAAGCTAAATACTATTGACTGTTCTAGGAGTGTTACTTGCTAGTGTTAGTGTATCACTATAATTATTAGTTATTACTTATTACTTATCTTATTGATCAGAGATCGCAAAATCGCATAATTATTTATTAAAGACAATGGATAGCAGACATCACACGACAATTAAATAAACACAAATGCAATCCTATCTATAGTCTATATATCGATGATCATATTATAATTAATACTATATAAAAATAATAATACTAATATATACGTAATCATTTAGACCATTTAAGGATATAGACACTGATAGGTAATTTTATTATTTTACTTTATGTGACAGTGACTGTAGTACAAATTTTCCACTCGCGTATAAAATAGTTAAAATTACGATTAGTTTGGCATCAGAAATCAGAATAATTTACATATACTAGAATAATTATAAATCTATATAGTTATGACAATATGACTTGGTATTAAGTATATTATATTATTACATCTATGAAATTATAGGAGGTAATGTGGTATAATAGTATAAACGATACTTATAAAGAATCCGACGAAAGTCTTTAAATGGATTTGAAGATTTGATGGAATGTAAGATAAAACTGTGATAATATGCTCTATAGAGTGAAAGGATTTGGTTTGAATATCTTAAACTCTGAATAAGGCAATACAACTTATGACTGTTTAGAAATTAATATCGATTTTAAATTTTAATTCGTATCAATTTTTAATCAATTTGATTAGTTTACTCCATGTTCTGTATTTGTGTGTATACTAAATACTTAGTACTCGAAGGCCTAAGAAATTATTAATTATACTTATAAGTTATAGAAGGTAATTAACAATAAATTTTTTTTGGGGGAGGGGGGGTGAGGCTTCAACTGCCGAGGTTATTAGCCAGTGGAATTGTAGGGGGATGGAACACGTGTGTGTTTGGCAGATTTTTTAGTGGGCACCTGTAGGTATCTGCCATGCTCGGGCGGCATTTTTATTCTCCGGTCACCTTGACTTGCTTCGAAGAAAAATGCCGCCCGTGGCCGGGAATCGAGCCGGCATCGACTGCTTCGCAACCGAAGCCTTAGACCTCTCGGCCACTCCGTCCCCACATTAACAATTATTATTTTCAATATACCTACTTATTACTATAAACTTATGATTATACCAATAAAAAAAAAAAAAAATTATACTTAATAATATTCTTATTATTTTTAAACTAAACTTTTTTAGTAAAGGTTTTATTATAATAAATCCGCATATAGATATATATTTTATTATAGATTTCGATTTCGATTTTGATTTTTATAATTTATTATTTTCCTTTTTTAATAAATTATTATTTATACATTAGAAACAAAAAGTTAAAAATCGAATGATAATATAAAATATAAATACAATGATTGATAAACATATTATATTAATAGATCAACTTGAAAATAGTACATTTAATGAGAAACCAACCGTCAACCACAAATATTTTGTTGGATAGATTTGAAATATTTGAAAATCATATATTTTTATATTTTGACAGACAAATAATTCTTACATGTTAATTTATGATAATATATTATATTTAAACTATGCTCCATCTGTAAGAAAGACAAATGATTTACGAGATCTAACAACCGTTGAGTTGCTATATAATATGTAAGCACAATCGTTGTTGTACATACCTATAAGAATTCTTTATGACGTGGTCAGTCTCCGTAAATACCAATATTTTGTATAGGTATTTATTTAAAATAACGAAGTTTAACTTATTGTTATGTTGAACTAAAAAAAGAAAATATATAATATAGAAAATAATAATATTTTTAAATTCAGAAAGAAATATAGAAAAAGGTTAGTGTTAACGGTATATTATTATCCACGCTACACTTATTATAATTCATTACCTATTATTAATGTATGGTTAAAGATTTAATAATACTTCACTAAAGTGAAACCCGAGTTAATAAGCTCATCATTTTACTCTTGTGATATCTGCTACTGTTTTAAAGGGTATTATATAGCGTCAGGGTTATGCCAAAGCCAATTTTATTGCCCCTTTGTCCCCAAAACTTTAAATTAGTAAATTCTTGTTGCCCCTGCCCCCGTAGCTATTAATATAACATTTTAATTTGTAAGTATACACTCGTGTAAATTATATAAGTACCTATAAAGATGATGCATATAAGTACTTATATAACTATCAAAATGTAAGGAAGATTTACCTACCTAACGCCCTAAATCCTATGTTATAACATGTATGCAATTTATCTAGACTGTTAGGTGATATCGGTATTTTAAATTGTTCATAATATTGTGTTTTCCACCCGCCAGTAATAATATAATATTGTTCTTATCGCTGACGGACGACGGTCAAGATGAATTTATACTAACATACTTCAAGTGTATCTATATATATATATATATTATATGTGAATAAAATAACTCTCGAAATCACGTGTAATTCGATTTTTATTATATTATTATGTCCGTTGTTAAATTCAATTACATTTGAATTTGAATTGTTTTAAGATCTCAGTAAGGCTGTTATTCATGCAGCTAGTTATGAAATAAAATAATAATCAGCCTTGTCTTACACTCAATTGAATTTGATAAATAAATATGTTTAAACAAAACTCATTAGTCATTGCTCTAAAATATATTATTTTATTGTATTATATTGTACAGTAGATTTAAAATACCTTACCTATAACGCAAACTCTCATTACTTCATTATCAATATTAATCAATATACATCTTCATGTCCCCACACCTTGCAGTACCTATATACACTAAACAGTTCAAAATAATATATCGAGTCAAGTAACAAATATTGAAATATATCATTATTCATTCGGCTTTTGCAATAATGACTATAATATATTATAAACTGACCAACTTTTGGACATATTTTTTGGGTATTTATTTGTGAAAATAAAACGAAAGGATTTATATAAAATTGAAATTTTTCTATAAACTGAAAAACTAACTCCAATTTTTAATTGTTACATTTTTATAGGCGAACGTCGAGAGAGAAGTATGACGCACGCGGGGCGTTTGTCGCCTGTAATATGCCCGCTAGCAAAGCTGGGACGGTCGTCTCCCGGTTCTCTGGAGTTTACACCCTCGGTTCGGAACTTACCGTTCCACCACCCGTACACGGTGCTAGAAGCCGAGACTAGCTTCACGTACAGCCCGACGTTACGGTGCAGCTCGCCGTGTTTGGACCAAGGTTACCACACGCTAGTGACCGGCGGCGGTGTCGGCGATTGCTCCAATCTGCCACTGCACTCTACAGCCACCAAGCACCGGCGGTCGCAGTCGCGGACGGTCATCGGTTCGAACTTTGATCGGCTCCGAGATGAGCTGGTGCTCAAGGTATTCTCGTACCTCAACAGCGCGGACCTTTGCGCGTGCGCGGCCGTGTGCCACAGATGGGAGAACCTTGCGTGGGAGCCCGTCTTGTGGCGGACGATCGCTCTGTGCGGCGAGAACACCTGCGGCGACAAGGCGGTCAGGTGCGTGTTGCGCCGCCTGTGCGGCCGCACCAGGACCGGTGCGTGTCCCGAGGTGCAGAGGCTGTTCCTCAGCGACGGCACCAAGATTTCCGACAAGGGACTGACGGCGTTGGCCAGGCGGTGTCCCGAGCTCACACACGTCCAGCTCCATGGCAGTCCGAACATCACCAACGCGGCCATATCAGAGTTGGTCGCCCGCTGCCCCAACCTACAGCACCTGGACGTCACCGGTAAGCGGCACAATTTATTATTAGTTATAGTTACTACCTATTATGGAATATGTCGAGGGGGCTCACAACTTTTCAAATCGTCACTATTTTATATGCTTACAATTAATATGTATGTATGATGGTTTACTTTTAAGTATACATACTATTTATATTATAAAGGAAATTGTAAATTGTAATAAATGTGACATGGTGCATATAGAATAATATAAAAATATATTATTGTTATTATACATAAAAAATAAAATATAATAATATGCTTACGCGACGATTAAGTGAGTATTCTTCGGGAAACATTCTTCACGTCGGTCCAGAGGTAATCAAGACTCGTTTCACCTCTGTGCAATGTACAACACTGTATGGTTTTGAGCACTTACGAACAAACATGCGAAAAAGGTATAAAATAGATCGCACTTACAAAAATCACTTGTGGACTCAGAAACTGTGTGGTCTGTATTGTATACCATTTTGACATAACAATGACCGATTGATATTACTGTAACCGAAGCTCGCCGAGAATAGTTATAAACCTAACCTATACAGTCCTCCATATATGCCGTAAACCGTGGTAAGCTTTAAGCTTCGGAATCGGTAGAAGTGACAGTCGTGACCACCACTCCGGGTGCATGTCATTGTACCTATACTACCAAAAATAATCATAGTATAATTTGATAGTTATGCCAATCCACATTTTTGCCCGGCTTTTTTAAAATTATAATTATAAAAAAATAATTCGGTGTTGGTGTACACTTAAACAATTAAACACTACGAAACAATATTTTTTGATAAAAAGCATACCATTAAAAAAAATAAATTAACAATCATATTATATAAAAATGATAATTGTCACGTTTAATTGGTTCATAATTGATTATAATTTTTGCACTGGTGGTGAACAATGTTTTTTTCAAAAGTTAGATTTTTATATCAATATCGATAACATAGTTCATAATATTATGAACTTATTTTAGAGTCGATAAATATTCAAAAATGTGAAAATATTGTTATGCCACCTCCCCCTTATAGTAATATTATACAAGTATATAACCATCGTTCATCAATCAACATGAGTAAGTTATAACCTGTAAGTATGTGTAGGAAGTATTTATAACGTACCTATATATATATATATTATATTATGTACCTACCTATAGATTATATATTATACTGCAGACGGAATAACGTTCGTTGCTTTCTTTCGAAACGTATAATGGAAATCATTTATTATTGCGGTATCGACCATCGGTATAAGTTATTTCCTGCCAATCGTTTTCGTATATAATATAGATAAATGTTATGATATTAAGATATGAAATCTCGTATTCGATTTTAAGCTGCAGCGTTGGGTGGTAATATTATGGTATGTATTTAGGCACTGCTCCGACATTAATTTATGGGCGTTTCTTGAGTGATTTCAAGACATTTATAGGGTTTCTTTAGGGCTTATAGCTGGCACCGTATAGTTGTACAACTTTAGGGCCTAAGGTTTTTTTTTTCGGGTATGCAGGCACGCTTAAGGGTATAGGTCATCTGACATCTCTTATAGGTTTTAAATTTGAATATACTTTTATCATACATTATTTAATACATTAATTGCTGTTCACTAGGATCCCAATTATTGTTAGTGTGTCTGACCAGACAGATGCATTATATTTTAATTTATTTGTAGAAGGTAAAAAATAATTAAATTAGTACGAGAGTATCTATATACAAAGGAAGAAATATGTTGCAAAAATAATAAAACGTTATCCAACGTACCTATGTTTGTTTGAATTAAACAATTGTGGTTAATAATATTTGAATAAACATGACTTCCGACCAAAAATAATTTAGGCTACAGTGGGAAATTAATATAGTGTGGTAGTAATTCAAGTTTAAAATCCAGTTGGTATAGGTATAAATAAAAACGTATGAATTATTCATCGTGTAACTAGATTTAATGCATTTTGAAAATTTAGAATTTAACTATTTCTAAAAATACCCACTCATCTGTACCTAATATAATATATTGTTGGCAACTGGATGTTATCTGAAGCCAAAGATACAATAGTATAAAAGATAAGATACATTTACAAGCCAAAAAAGTGTCTTGTAACATATGTTACTAGGTATGTAATGTTTTTATGAATATATCGAAAATTCATAATTTAGGAACTATACAGTGTTAACGGATGCCTATAAAATATGTGAATGAAATAATCATAAATACGTATATAATAAAATAGATGAAATATAGACGGGCATCACGATATTTAGGTCTTCGAGTGGGATTAATAGGGGTGACAATTATTTACAGTTACAATGGCCACGGGCGCAAAATTCCTAAATACGGCCTCGTCTTCATTAATATATTCTCATACATAAGGTGTATTATAATATATAGATATATCATGCGTATGAAATGTATACGTTACATATTATATCAAATAAAATCGTATAAGATTAAAAATTAGCTGAAAAACCCGTCGAATATACAAATTGTATAAAATAATTGGTTTTATAAAACGTGTATAATATATTATTCTATTATAGTCGTTGGTTTTTCTAATAAATGTTTACAACGTTATTAAAATAATAGTAATAAAATAAAAAACTAACAAAATATGGTCACAGCTAAATACACAATAATTAATGACATAACTTTTAACGCTGTGAATATAATATACTATTATATCCATCACGCGCTTATACAATATAAATTATAAAATATACATAAACACAATATATTATACATTTTCATAAAATGTCATTCGGTAATTAAACTCGAGAAGAACTGCAGCGGTATAAACATTCGGATGGTCATTGACAAATGATTATAATTTATATAATACGGCACTGCCGATCGCGGCCAAGGACTCTTCTAGACGTGCGGACAGCTACACATACAACACACACACACACACACACACACACACACACACACACACGTATATATAAATACGATACAGGTACAATATATATTATTGTATTATTATATACTTACCGACTATACAATATTATATTCTTTGCGGATCGATTTCGTAGAAAACCACACACACACACACACACACACACACACACACATGTGTACTCGCATATGGCTTATATGTATATATTATATAGGTAGGTAGGTACATTGTACGTGTATATAAATTGTATATATAAATTCTCCTCCGCAACAGTGATGTCTCGCTGTATGCCCAGACTCCAGAGAGAAAAATGTCCTACCGCCGCCGCATTAGGACGCTTTTTTCTATTCTTTATATTTTTATCCCGCGCGCATTTTTATCTTACCGGCTGTTACCTATACAGATATTTTCCTGCCACTATAGCTGGTATATACCACTCGTACGGTGAATAACGCTCGCACGTGGAATTCGTTATTAAGCAGTACCCTACCTACCTACAACCTACTACATATTATTATATATAATACGGACGCGGCTAGCGTTGAAGCCGTTTAGAATTTAGCGATGGTCATGTGCTGTAAGCAAGTATTACATGTATGTATGAGCTTCATATTTTCCATATAGTACCAAAACAGCTTAACCAACATAGATGTTTGTTTTGATTAAAAATAAATATTATGTTGCAACTTATAAATTATAATATAATAATACAATAAAACTGAATTCGCCCAGTCCTCTAATTCCCCAGTTTGCTATAGATGATAACACATAATTTGTTTTGGTACCTACGTCCAACTGGCATTTGTAAATAATTAATTTTTGCAGTATCTATACACTGGAGTAGCCAAAAAATCCTTAAGTAATTGGTTTGTGGCCTTGTGGGTTAAGTAGCTGTTGATCTGAAACTGAATACATGTGGACATTGAACATATTAAAATTGGATAAATGTATAAAATACGAACTCTTAAAAAAAAAGAAAAATCTGCACAACCCTACTCACCTGTTGAGAATTTAGGTATACTTACCTAGGTACTATGATCGCCTATAGAAGAGCACGTCACTAATATCATTGCTGCACGAGTATATTTTACTAATTTAAAATTATAATTCAAATGAGTTTAATTTTTATAATAATAGTTTTATACCGTGTACCAACGCAAAATATGTACACCGCCGTGACTTCCTTCAGATGACGGTTTTACCGTTTAATATTATTATAGCAAATAATATACTGAATATTTAGTAATAAAATATATGATATTGCATACCTACATATTCGTACATCAATATTAATTCCATCGTTCCGTTCCGGATATTATATCGTCATTCCGTAGCCGTTCGCAGTTTATAGGTACGTCTCGGGAATAGTACCTATACGTATATTAGGTATATAAATTGTTGTTATAATGTTGTCTCGCCGACGCCCGATGTTGTACCTATTTTATACAGTGTTTGAGTGCCGTAGTGGTACTGCCATTGCCATATGACCCATACAATTGCACTGACAATTGACATTATAGGCGCATTATTGTTTTATGTGGTATAAACCATCTAATAATATTGTATAATATTATATTTAAGTACCTACCTTATATTATAGTAACCTGCGCACGGCTGCACCTTTAGTATACCCTATTGCTACAACATACACACACACACACTCACATAGTCTGTAACAATATTGTTAACGGTATCGTATATACGTTCATTTATCATAAATCACAATGATTTTTTCCATCTTGTTTTTATTGTATATAAACTGAGTGTCCGCTGTCTACTCGTGCATTCCCGCCCACCGATGTTCCATACCGTCTCTGACTACCAGTCTCCTGCCATAACTTTAAACTTAATGGAGATTAATAACTTAACTTTGAAAAGATAAAATATTTACGTAGATTTAAGTTTTTATTTCTAAATATTAGTAAGTTATATAAAGAAAAAAAATGTTATATATTATTTCTGATGTCAACGTCCCATTTTCTCAATGAATACTACTACACCATATTCAATAATCCGCACACCAAACGATACGTTATTGCTTCCGTTTCTGATATCGCTCAATCACTTAGCATTAAAATGCCCTACTTCGTTAAAAATTAAGTTTAAATGAAACAAAAATTCACCATTGGCCAACGTCTCTATAATGGATACGCAACTCACAAACACCATGGGGAACAAACACATTTTTGCTAATGTAACAACCGAAAAATGAATTTGTTCACAAATTTCACGAACATACTTTATCATTTATCACGCCTCTGTAAATCGTACTCAGTACAGCGCACGGGCCAACTGGTGAATTATAATAATAAAACGTAGCTTCTTCAGTTCTTTATAATTGATCGAAGCAGCTGAAGTTGCGTTGAGGTTCATTCCATAAGTTATGTTGCAAAATTATAAATTGACAATTGTATACAGACACCCGACTATAATTGTTTTTTACAAACCAGTGAGAGCTACGCCTTTCCCTCCCCTAGTCCCCTAGATTGATATCTTGATATATTTATTAATTATATTAATTAAATTATTACATAACGGATAAACTAAAAATTTAGAACTTGGATTGTATGATTTTGCGGTATATATTTTGGTGTATTAAACGATGTATACCTTTATGAAACCAACAAAAATATTTCAAAAACCATAAAAAAAATTATGAAGTCTATTGTTGAAATGAATATATATAGTATGGCCCATGGTGGGTGTATTTGTGTTCATATATATATATCAATAATATAGCAATATACTAAATAGGTATAGCCGTATAGGTACTAACTACTAATATTGTACACAATAATACGAAGAGTACAATCTTGCGTACCTACCATAGATTACACTCTATAGTTTATATCCATACCAATAATTATCCAACATTTAAAAAAAACTATTAATAATATTGATTTTATAATTTAGTATGTTTGTACCCTATAAGTCATAGGTACCACCCCCTACTCAACCAAAAAGTGTTGTGGCCGCATGCTCGCAACACTTTGACATAAACTAAATATGGTAGTTCGATGCCACTAATGTGGCGTTATAATTTTTTTCTAAAATCATGTTTCAAAAATATTGCTTGGGAATAAAGTAGTTGACCGCGGGAGAAGATTGCATTTTGTGTATTATAGTGATGACAAATCGCAATACAAAAAATAACCCGGCATATTGGGCTCCAAGCCCGTTCATAAATAAATATTTATTTTGTGTGTACCTACGTCGCATTTGTTACTTGTTATAAAATGTATTATGTAAAGTAATTTGCTACGACGTTTTTTTCCGGAACACTGCAGTACGAGTAGTCTCCTGCAGAAGTTCAGAGACGACACTGCAGCGAATGTTGAATTTTAACCATTCGACGAGTCACATACCTCCATTCGTGATGAATCTACATTTTGTATCTGTAATCTATAATATTGTTGTGTGTTTAAACATTTCAAGAAATCGAAATGTGTAACCGACCGTGAGCAATGCAAATCACATTGGCGCGCGGCGGTGGTGGTTACTATAACGCCAATAATTAGGTATTATATTTATATATACAATAATGTAGTTGTTCCCGTCATCGTACTTACACACACAAACACAACGCATAACGTGTACTATAATGTGAAATGCGAATAAAAGGGCGTGGTGATTCCAATCGTCTCGAGTTATGATATCCCTGAGAATATTGTTTAGAGGGCTTTGAGGCGGTGTCTACATAATATCTCTGAGTTTCCGACCGACTATTATGCAAATACCTACGTTTTTATTTTGCAAATTATTATTTATTTACATTATACCTGGTATTTTTGGTTCGCCTACATGATTATTACAATTTTAAAGTAGGTATAAAAATACACTTCCAAACGATTGTTGTTCGCATTTGTATACAAACAAAATATTTTTTTTTTTTTTTTTAACACAGCTAAATTATTTCGTGTTTATATACTTCTTTTCAGTAAATTGTAGGGTATGACAAATTATTTCGTATCTATTACTTTACGGATCCAGTTAATATTTCTTTGATTTTGTCTTATGGAAAACCCTATAAGGTACCTAGATAATAATATGTATAATACGTATGTCCTACATACTTATGTAGTAGACAGAACACAGTCCACGGAAGCCTATAGGCTATAGCCTATAAGTATCTTTTATAAAATAGGTAAGGTTATCAAATTTTGATTATATTCTACTTGAAAACTTCTGAAATATAGACGCCTACAAGATTATACGATATTATTGGTTATAACTTATAAATAATATAATGTAGGTATACGAAAATAAAAATTAACATAATACATGTAGATTGTAGGTATATATAAACAATGATAATTTATAAGGGTAGGCATACAAATATACAAATATAAACAGTTAGAACTTAACAAAATTGATTTTGACATTGTCAAATGGAAATACCAAATTTACCATTATTATAAAAAATTGTTTGTATGATGGTCTCACCTAAAATATATAATGAAGATTTAAGAGTAATTTGAGGAAGTTCAATATCGTTATACAATAGGATAAACTATTTATCATTATAATTTTATTTTTCCGATTCGTTATACCTAATATAATATACAGTCTATGGTTAAATATTTAAATAAAATAATATAAATATACGAGTATTAGATAGGTACGATTCGTAATATAATATGATATTAGAGCAAGGACTTTTGCACTAAAAAATCATGGTAAAAAGTAAAAAATATGCACTTGTGGCCTTATATAGGTATCAACTTTTTTTTAAATATGCACTATAAGATAAAAACAATTAAACATCTATCGTAAGTCTATATAAGTAAGTCTATATCTATTACCTAATATCCGAAATCTTATACAAAAATAGACATAAAAATGGATTTTATAAACTCAGTTTTGCCCCCTGTACTAATATGTAAAGCTTAGATGTTATGGATAGTTTAAATTCTAAACTATCCACTGTCCATTTAAAAATTAGTTTTTATATCGTCTTTATAAAAAATTATCTGGAGTTTAATTAAATTACAAAAAATATTTACCGAATGCTTAATTTTTGATAAACTTTCAAAATATATCCTTAAAATCGAAAATATTACCTTTAAACCCTAAATATATGAAATATATAAAAAAATGTGCTAAAAATTATTTGCTAAGAGTATTTGATTACAAACTTCGTGAATTGTATTTTGTACTTCTAAGCATACGATAAAGTTAACCAGAAAAATATGCAAATGCATGAAAGTCCTTGCTCTATATATTCCTACCTAAATGGAATTATGGCTATATGTAGGTATATATTACTTCTTCACAAGTACTTATGCGCTATGCGTAAACATAGTACCTATATAAGTATGGCAATTTAAACTAGGTCATAAATTCATAATATTACTTTGTTAAATTAATGTGTAGACAATTAATGTAACTTGCGCAGATAACTATATAATACTATATATAAGCAGAATAATAGAAATAAAAATCTGCTTTCCATACAGTTCTATAAATTAAGCGTAAACGTGTGTAATTAATAATAATTAATATAGGTATAACATTCGTTTTTAACCGTGAAATGTATTTTATTTTAGGTTGTGTTAAGGTGAGCACCGTTGGGGTGTACAGCCGTCCGGAGCCGTCCCTGAGACTGTGCCTGCAGTATTTGGACTTGACTGACTGCCAGCTTGTCGACGATGCAAACCTATGTGTGATCGTTAGTAATTGTCCACAACTAGCCTACTTGTACCTGCGGCGATGTACTAAAGTCACAGGTAATGACATGACGAACAAATATTAAAACATTAAATAGGTACCTACCTACCTACCAAGTGGCGTACTCAGGAGTTTTCAATGGGGGGGGGGGGGGGGGGGGGGGGGGGGGGGGGGGGGGCTTGAAAATTAGTTACAATTTTATTTTTATTTTGTCCAGTCTAATAATTTCAGACGTTTATTTGAAGTATTTTAAAACGTTTGTAACTTCTCAACTTTTCTGGTAGAAAAAATGCTCTGATCATAAACTTCGATGCCCGATGTATGTTTTTGGAAGTAAATTGAATCTAGTTGGCCAGTACTTATAGTTTATACACATTAATTTTAAACTATTTTTATTTCAATCTTATATTTAAATATGTACCTGCAGAGTGAAGACTTAAGATATATTGATCATAGGATAATATTTTACACTGTAGATATTTGGTAATTATTTAAAATAAAAATATTATTATATAAGTTCCTATATTTTACAGTCTGTTATTTATATATAATACATATCGTATATTATATAGGTAATGTGTATCCTTGATAGTTGGAAGGTAAACATTTTCCATTCAGATTTTGTCTCATCCTGGAAAATGCGGAATGCCAATTATTCGCATTGCGTTCATACTCGGGTAAATACTCCACAAATAAGAATTCTTGAGCTGTGGATCCGGTTTTAATTCATTAAGACACTTTTTATATTTGCCAAGAACGAGTATATATAGGCATAATGCATTATATTATATGCTCTATAACTATTTTATTGCAGAACCTCTTCAACTCTAAAATAAAAATAAATCGATGCAAAGTTAATGGCAAGTACGGTCCCCTCACTTGTATAATAGAATAATAGTATGTATAATAATATATATTATAATTTATAAGTACCTATGTCCTATATGAATAGGTATACTTTTATACAATACCTCGAATATCACAGGATTCTCCTCTTGGCTTGGAGATTATGAATTTTGATTATACTTCTTCACATAATTATATTATATAGTGGGCATTGCCACACTGCAGAGCAGTCTACGTACATGGTATAAGTAATGTAATGCGTTACGTGGTTAAACCCATTTCTTCCCAGAGAGTGACATATTATAAGTACATAGGTAAATAACCTGGTAATAGCCAATAAGTATGATACATTTTACTTTTTTGGCACTAGTGTATATAATATTGTTTTCATAACAATTTTGTTTATTTTTTTGTGAGAGGCGGGACTAAGCTTTTATTATATAGTTTCTACTTATACCCCTCACGTCATATGGTAATTGATTTCAATAACATCGATATTATTATAATATATGTTAAAGTAGAAAAAGATATGCAAATGTACATACATCTGGGCTCAGATAGACGAAAAACTGGCATTACGGTCATTACCTACATATATAATATTTACCGGGGGACGAGGTGGCCGAGCGGTCTAACGCGTCGACTGCGGCGCTGGCAGTCGGGGGTTCGCCTCTCGACCACTGGGTGGCATTTTTCTCCGGGCAAGTCACGGTGTCCGGAGTACAAGTGCCGCCATCCCCCAACCCGGGGCATGGCAGAAACCTACGGGTGTCCCAATAAAAATTCTGCCACCACAAACACACACGTGTACCAACCTACCCAATCTAAAAACCTACAGTTCCCTACCAACACCCAATGGCCTATGTTGCCGCGGGTTATCCAATAAAAAAAAAAAAAATATTTACCATAATATATTATTATATATCACTCACCTATAGTATTATAATTTATATAGTACCAAGTATAATATAGGTATACAAAGTGATGCACCAAACATGCTCACCCCCATTTGTTTCTTTTAATAACTAATTAATTTATTCAAGTTATTATTTTTGGAATTTTTAAGTAGTAGTATACGTATACTTCCTTATTAATCATATTTTCCCAAATTAAAATATACATTTTCTATCGCCATTGCTCCTTAAATATAGCCATACAGGTTCTTAAAGCTCCAAAAGCCAGAATATGAATAAATTCATATACATGAAAATAATGGGAGTGAACATGTTTAGTGAATCACCTGATCTTATATTTTTATATATCTATTGTGAAATATTTCATGGTGTACATAATTCTAAAATGTTTTTGGTTTCATCGTCACGTCACTTTTATATTATTTCCAGACGCCGGTATCAAGTTCGTGCCGAGCTTCTGTTCGGCGCTGAAGGAGCTGAGCGTGTCGGACTGCCATCAGGTGACCGATTTCGGGCTGTACGAGCTGGCCAAACTGGGCGCGCTGCTGCGGTACCTGTCGGTGGCCAAGTGCGATCAGGTGAGCGACGCGGGGCTGAAGGTGATCGCGCGACGGTGCTACAAGCTGCGGTACCTGAACGTGCGCGGCTGCGAGGCGGTCAGCGACGACGCCATCACGGTGCTAGCGCGGTCGTGTGCCCGGCTCCGCGCGCTTGACATCGGCAAGTGCGACGTGAGCGACGCTGGCCTCCGGGCGCTGGCCGAGAGCTGTCCGAACCTGAAGAAGCTCAGCCTCCGCAACTGTGACCTGGTCACCGACCGCGGCATACAGCTGATCGCGTACTACTGCCGCGGGCTGCAGCAGCTCAACATACAAGACTGTCAGATATCCGCGGACGGATACAAGGCTGTGAAGAAGTACTGCAAGCGGTGCATCATCGAGCACACTAACCCCGGTTTCTTCTGAACGGCCACGTTGTATAATACTTGGATTGTATACCGAGTGATCCGTTTTTTAATATTTTTAAATTATGTAAAAAAAAAATTGTATTAAAAAACGTAAATTGTTTAAAGTTTTTAAATAATGAATGTCTTACGTTAAATATATCACCCGGTATACTTCGGGTCGTATACAGCGGGGCGGTACCGTTCGGTAAAATATTATTATATATTAACGAGTGTGTCTCATAATGTATAGAATAATAATTATAATAATTGTAAAAATAATGTCGGTGTGGAACGGGTACACGGTATATATTATAAATTCAGGGCTCGAAAGTTGTAGCACTAAAAATATTACTTTTTAGCTCTTAAATATGCACTTAAAAACTCCGAAATATGCGCTATAAATAGCACTAAAAATCAGAAAATATGCATTTAACTTGAAAAAATTAAAATTTATTAGAGAAAAATTAGAAAAAAATTAAATATAATTTTACAATTTTATAAAGTTGTTCGGCTCATAGGCGTCAGGGACTGTCTAGAAAAGTTGAATTATAAACTGTTATCAAAAATATTAAATTAGGCACTTAAATATGTTTGTTGATGTGTACTTATAAGGTCTATTTATTTCCCAACCAAGTTAATCATTATTTTCAACACAATGTGATGATTTCCTATATATTATGTATTTATTTTATTTTTTTTTTAAATTTAATTTCATATATATAAGTATACTGGGCCCCACTGAGATGACTCGTATGATATTTATATTATATATATTAAGTATATTATGAAAATATACCCAAAAGTAGCGCTAAAAACCCTAAATTAGCAAATCAGCAATAAAAACTGTAAATATGCAAAAAAATAGCAAAATAAAATTTCGTGTATGGCATCAGAGCAGTGTGATACATATTTGTATCTTACTTTGGATGTTCTAGAATGAACCAAGAAAAATATGCGTTTGCTATAACTTCCGAGCCCTAAATTTATAATGATGTATTTAATATTTTAATCGCATAGGCGCAAATTAGGGACCTAAATTATGTGGGACCCCTTGAGAAGGTCAGGATATCCCCGCTGCAATGCTGCAAGACGAAAAAGTTATGCTAAAATTGAAATTTGGCTTTTTGAGCCGTTTCGTTATATTAATCGCATTTGCAGTTTGCACCAATTATTTTAATATTACGTTTGTATCATCGTCGCCCACTCCGACACGTTTATATTATTTAAGTATATCCGTCTGTATAAACGACCGGACCTCATCGCAAGACACTGCCCATATTCATTACTATTAGGTATGTCATTATATTATTATATCAGTATTATATTTAAACTTTCCCGATAGGTCCCTAAGTAATAAACATACACTCTAATCGTAAGTCTGTTTTTTTTTTTTAAATTTTTATATTAATTGGGCCCCCGTCCAAAATCGAAGTTGGTGCCTGGTGCCAAAGTTATCACTTATAACATAGGTATATACCTAAAAAACTTTTATTGATTTTTTATTTCACATTTTCCAGATTAAATCTATTATGTGACCTGATGATGTTGATAAAATGTCCAATGATTATAATTACTGTGGAAAGACATTTGTTTGTAAAAATCCACGTTTTGCATATTATCCAGTAACTTATATTTTAATAATTATTGCCCGTGTAATGAGTGACTAATAACAATTACCAATTAGTATCTGTACGGCTATACTTGATTCTTAATTATTTATTTTTTGCCAATATAAAAATGTAAAAGTATATAAATATAATATATGTACCTACCTTAAAAATATATACAGGTACTTTTTTGGAACAGACTTAATTCTATGGTTTAAATTGGTTAGATGTGGTATTCATATAAAATATAGTCATCATAATTTCAGCCATAAGTGTTTAAATATATTAATATTATTGAATTTTGTGTAAGCAAAATAATATTATGGTCATGCATACGGAATATGTAAAACGTATCATGCAGTTTACATAATATTATAGGAAATGCCATTTAATAATTAGGTACTTCAACAGAAACTAATATGAACATTATATGCCCCCTCCCTCTTTATTTTAAAATACACTTCTTTATTTATTTATCTTCAGATTTGTTTAGTGGCTATAATTGTCAGAGACCACTTATGTTTCTTTGCGATATACATAATAAATAATAATATAAGTACTAAGTAGTCATCTGTTACAATTGATTTGCTTAATCTAATTATTTATCATGAAATACTATTTTAAAATGCAAATTATGATTTGCATTTACATTTACATAATCGTAAGAATAAATTAAGAATAAAACAAAATTAATTTGACAAGATATTGCTGTTACCACAGAAGATTATGAACATATTTGACCGAGAACTATAACTAACAATTGGGATGTTTCACACTCATATTAACTGATGACTACACTAAAATTAAATGTACATGTCTGAATATATTGTACAAATTAAATGTTGAAGTATGGTCGTCAATTGACATTGTAATATATTGTAAATTGTAATATTATTAATCTTTATTTTCAATCATAATTAAGGTGCCATCCAATTTGTCTAAATGTTGCCATTCGACTTTCAAAGAAGAAAAATAAACTACTTAATATGTATTATTTTAATATTATTTAGTAGAATTTTATTTAAAGTGGCTAACATAATATTTAAATGAAATCTTTTCATTTTATTAGACGACTGTGTTTTTTAATAAGTCTGATCACAATTTAAAACTTTTATAGTTTATATATTATAATGTTGTCTGGTTAGAATTTAATTTATTATATTGTAAGTGCTTTGTCACAAAATGCAGTATTCATATTAAAATAGAATACATTTTATAAATATGTGTACAAACAAATTGATATTGTACAAAACTGTTAGTAAACATTTTAAATAACTTTTATATTTATAATAACAAAGTTTCAACTGTTTTTGTTTTAATTTTGTGTTGTTATTGCAATTTTTATTGTGTTATATCTTGTACAAAATGTTAAAGTAAGTCCTATTAAAAATTACAATTCCTAATCTTTTACATGGAATATTTTGTGTATACATTCAATTATTTCATTGAATTACTTTTTCAGTGAGAATAATCCAGTTTTTAAATATAAAGCACATTAATAGGTGTTTTATTTATTGAAATTAATCAAAATACTTGTTTAATCGTTTCATTAGTTGTAAAAACTTTATTAAAAAAAAATATTAACGTTTTTTGTAAATACAAGGTTTTAATTCTAATATAGGTAGTTTCTTTTTTAATGCTGTCTTACTTATATCTTGAGTTTTTTTAAAGTCCACAAAGACAAACATTTCAATTGTCTGATCTACTTTTGTTTTTTCAAAACCATATTTAGCCAAACTATCAACAAAAGTGTTAATATTATCAAATCGGCTTTCGACTTCTGCTATTTTCATCAAACCCCTAAAAATAAAACAAAATATTGTAAGTATGTTTTGATAGAATATTGTTTTACGTAATAAGACTCAAAATGAAAATTGCATGTATACACTATTCAAATTAAGAAATGTACATTGGAGAGTCCAGTTTCTGATAGGCGGTGGTGTAGGAACACCAGTCAGTCATCTCCAAAGAGACTTTAACTCTTCTTATGTAGTGAAGCTAAACCCTGGTTACAAATGGACACCCAGAAGCCAAACAAAACTTACATAAAGTGTACTAATCAATATATAGCATCGTTTATCAAACTGTGGGTTGCGACCCACTGGTAGTTCGTGAGTCATGTATTGGTGGGTTGCGAGAAATTTTTGAATTATAGTCTTTCTAGGAAATTTAGTCATTATAATATACGTACCAATATTATATTAATTATAATTGATAAATTAATTAAGTAACAAGTTATAATAATAGTAATCAAATTTTGTTTTTAAAACTAATTTATAATCTTGTAAATAAACCATGGGTCGTGATGGATTTTCGGGTATAAAATTTGGTCAAGGTCCTAAAAGGATTGAGAACCACTGCTTTATAGAATATTAATTGATGTACAAAACGAAAATCCAAATCCCAAGTTTCTTTGACATCAATATCCAAAACATTTCTCATCATAATATTATTCTAATTTTATATTACCCGGTTTTCAAAACCCTATTGGCTTCTTTGATGAATGATTGCAAGTTTGTGCCCATCAGAGAGAGACAGAAAACTGCTATGTCAACAGACCCATTGGCTAAGCTAGTGTGAGCCATATCACCAGCGGTTACATGCTGATTGACTGCCACAAAATCGAATGAATGAACCTTTATTTTAGGAAATGCCCGAGCAAGTTTGGCATCACCACAACCAAAATCTGCAACTACAACAGGTGAATTGACATTTGACTTCTTCAAGCTAAAAGTTAAAAACAATTTTCTTAATAAAATTAATTTATAAAGCTTTAATAAATAAAGTTTACATTGGTTTAATTTGTTTGATTATAACATCTAGAGGTTTGACTGGCCATTGACTAACTTGTTGCATATAACCATTATGATAGGCTTTGAATGCACTTGGTTCTTTTTTAAAATATAGCAAAGCATCTTGGCTGCTAGATGAATAAAATTGTTCATTTATATATCTGTAAAAGTTTTAGTGAAAAAACAAAAACATGATTTAAACAATTGAAATAATCAACTACCGAGATAGTAGATAGATTTATAAATAAGGTTAAATAGTCAACTATTGTATACCTGAATCTTGCACCTTTCAGTTTATCTTTCATCCTCTTAATAAAGGACGTAGGTGTTTTGTCTACCTTTGTCTGTTGTTTGTGCAAACTAGGAGTAGAGCTTTCAGGCGCCCCTTTGTAACTTATATTTGTTAATTTTATTAAATTGTCATTTGTAATAGGTTGAGTTGTTTCCACTTTAGCTTTAGGTTTTGGTTTGTCATTTTTCAGACCAACTTCAATCAGTGCTTTTTTTGATATCTTCTTCTTTTTACCTTTTTTTTCCGTTAATCGTTTTATTTTGTTTCTTTTAATTTTATGTGTCTTACCAATAGCCGAAATAGCTTTAACTACATTTTTTTTATTTTTTACTTTCATTATATAATATTTTATTAACACGTGTTATTATCACTACTCTGCTGAATATCTAATTGTTGTTGAGCAATATCAGAGAGAGCTGCTTGTATCTGTTCAAGAAGAAGTTCACCTTTCCGAACTACTTCTTCCAAACGTTCTGCAGCTAACTGATTATCCTGCTCTAATCTCCGCAAACTAGCAACCTACAAAAATTGAAATATTTAAAGAAATATTTTTTTTTGTAAATAATAGTACCTACTAAATACTATAAACTAGTGGTTTTCAAACTGTGATAAATAGTAGGCCACACAGGTGTAGAATAGAAAATCAATAGATTAAATCTCACAAATTTTAAATTTTTACTAATGTTTGTAATGGATCTAATATTATTTTATGTTTTGTGTAAAATATATATTCTAAATAATTAAATATATTGTAAACGTACCTAAATTATTATTTTTATACATTATTATTCTTATAAATGTAAATGAGTTGACATTTAAAATAATTCCAAATTGTCATTAGTGACTAATCTGTAATACACACGAGTGGTACAAAATAAACAGTTTGAAAACTTCTGCTAGACATACTTGTAAATCTGTAGAAGTATCGTCGTTGGGCAGTGATTCGATTAATGCGTCAATATCTTTGGCACAGCGAGTTATAAGTGAAGAAAATAAACTTGTATAATCTAAACACAGTTAATTGTTAGTACTTTATATGTCTATCAGATTTTAATGTTATTCAAAACATTAAAATATAAATACCTTCTTGTTGCTGTGGTGTTTGCGATCCGTTTCGGTCAAAGTTTGAAAACTTGGATGGTAAAGCGCACTGTTGTAAAATTCCGATGCTGTTGCAGAAGTTGTCCGCCTGCTATAAAATTGTAATCAATGATTAGGTTTATAATTGAAAATGATTTGGTGAAATCAATAATATGTATACAAAAATACACAATAAGTATGCATGCATAGTAAATTATTTTCTAGGCTTCTTTAAACATATTGTACCAAGTTTGAACGTTCACAATTGATGAATCATGTATTTCTACTTGTGAAATTTAAATTAATGAAATCTACCTCTGACTATGTAAAACTGTTGACTTAATGACAAGATTGTACCTATGTGGAAATTGTTATTCGATTATTTGAAATGTGAGGCCAAATTGTGATCACATACGGTGTGTGGGAGTCATGCAGATTCTGAGAAATTTATGAAAATCGTCATAAATAGAGGGGACAATTTACGCCATTAACCTCCTCGGCTAGAACATATATATATAGGGACTAAACCATTTCAAACATGATCAAACAGAGTTTAAGAAAGAGAGTTCACATCACCCAACATGAGTTTTCACTGCACACCATTTGTAATATATTCGTCGAGAGTTAGTTAATAAAGAGTCACCTATTCGATCATTATTTAAACTTCAAACGCCTAAAGGGAAGTTTTCCCTGCAGCGTCCGGACATGAAATATAACGTCACCTACCTAGTCGGCGTCGAGACAAAGCATCAAAACACCGTGCTCTTCCACTGTTTAACGCTGCGGAGAACTATGGAAAACGATTGTCGATATTGATATGAAACAACACATTTCTCACCAAACCATTGACCGTTTTTACCTACTAATCTAATAAATTATTTATTGTTCGCACTTGGCCGCAGCTTACCTGATTAACAATGTCTTGGAGTTGGGTAAGACGATCGGCCATTTAGACGACGACAGCGATCGGTGGCGTTCTGGACCGGAAAGCGACCAGTATATACACACTGAGGTCTGATACACCTCACCTAAGTAAACAAGTAAACTGACGACGCCAGACAGTAGACACTACACACTGACAGGACAGACTGTCTACATTAAAGACACGCGCTCATCACGACACGAGAGAATATTATAAAAAACAACAGTGGGTGATAACAGCGTCGGCGAATTACAAAGAGGTTCCGTCCGCGTCATGTGTTTTCAACGTCTACGGGCAACGATCCGTGTCGCCGCGCCGTGCGGTGCCGTTTTCCGAAAAACGCCGATAACGCACGACGAGCATTGAGCGGCGTATTTTTTTTTTTCGTATTCTTATTTCGTCTACTTCGGCTGATTTTTCGTTCGACAAAATTTTTCACGCAAAAATTCATCAGTAATCACGATAATAACGATAAACAACAACAACAACAGCTGCAGAACTCGTTTATTTACCGTCCGCTCTTTCGCCCGGCGGTTTTCATGTCGAGTCTGACCGGCCGCGAACATTAACGTCGCCTCCGCCGCTGTGACAAGTTGAACGCGCCCCAACAGTACTCAAACCCGGGGAACAGCAACCACCGGACCACAGCGGCGGCATTGGACAGGGGACATCACAGGGGAGGATACGGGTAAGACGGGAATCGTGTTAAAAATAACCATAACGCATGTCGCCCACCTCCGCAACTCGGTCGCGTAACCCCGGGGGCGCGCACGTTGTGCACATCTTTCGTTTCCGTCGGCGACCGTTTTTCGCGTTATCACCTAGCCGTGAGTCGTGACACCGAACGCAGCGGCAGCACACGCACCGCCTGGTATCATCAGCTCTCGCCTGGCCTCCTCCGCGGTACGTATTCCTCAAACGTGCGTGCGTGTCCCCCGCCAGCGGAGGTGTCCCTGGACGGTATTTAATGTTTGGCCAGTCGGTGGTGTACCGGTGTTTCAGTGTTTCACCGCGACCAGTGGCCAGTGGGTGGTACGCGGACGTCTCGGCGGGATAAATATTTTTCGCGCCGCCGTCTCGTCTTACACACTCGCACGTCTCGCCGCCGCCCACTTCGGCTAAAAGTATAATAACGATAATAAATAATAATATCGTTATTAATAATATGTCCTATAACCTCACCTATGTGCTTATCCACCCCGTCAGTTTGAGCTGTTAGTTTTTTTTTATCGTTCTGTTTTGACACGATTTTTTCACGCCGACAGGACCGATCGTACGAACAACGATATCCACGAAAGACGCCACACAGGACTACCAGAAACGATGGAAAAGGGTGACAAGAAAAACAACGACTGTTACTTTTATTACTATTCGACTTGCATGAAGGTTGGTTCGTGTTTTTAGTTTTACAGTAAACGTCACAAACTACAAACCAGTTTAAAAAAATGTTCCCGTCCTTATTAAATGCATACCGTGTACTCTGGGTACCAAGTGATTTCAAATAACTCATTTTTATAGTAGGAGATTTATATTATGCATTATTTTTTGCAAAACATTTAGTAAAATTCTAAATATTTTTCTAATAATTACTCTACCCATGTGTATTTTTATCTTTTAATTCAGCATATTATACAAATTTTACTTGACAAATGAGAGTTTTATAAACTGTGCTCAAATTAGGAAAAATTAAGTAATGAAGCTCATTCCAACTATTTAAAAACTGCATTCCAAGTGCAATATTATTTAACGCAGGCTAATGATGGGAACTGCCCCCACCCTCCCCCCAATTCCTGAATTTTGGATATTAAATTTCAGCTTTATTATATTCCACATGTAAGTAAATGTGCATTTATATTCACGAATTTTTTGAAATTTTTGAAACTAAATTTCATAAATTTGTTAACTTCTTCCTTGAGTCTTTCGCTTGCCAGGTGATTGCTCTCCCACTGAGCCATCCGATCCCATAGACCCATGACGCTATCTCACCCAGTCAACGGATACTATTTATCCTCGCATTTATCAATTGTCAGCACTAGTTCACATATATTTGATTACACAATAGTTTATTGTATATATCTGTGCACTAATAGGCAAATAACAAGTGTGATATAATTTAAATAAACCATAGAAAAAACAATAAGCTAATACTAAAAATATTTTCAGTATTAAAATATTGCCTACAATTTAAATCCACATTTTATTAAATATGATTTTGGATATAAGTTTTTGCCGTGCCCTGGGGACTGTCAAAGTAAAAAATAGTTGAAGACTTGAAGTACGCGAAAAAAAAAAATAGAAGAGCACTTGTATTTTTTGACATTTTGTATTATAATTTATACTATTGTTAAAATTTGAATTACCGGAATATCTAAAAATATTTATATCATGTGTGTAATTTTAAAGGGAGACAAATGTCCATTTCGCCATGAACCACAAGCATTAGGATGTGAAATGGTGTGCAGTTTTTGGCAAAACGGAAAGTGTGAAAATGATCATTGTACATTACGCCACATGGAATTAAAGGTAATCATTTATTAGATTTAAATAATAGACCGGAACGTTTCCTAGAATACTTTCAAACTTGCTTACTATTAGCACTAAATTTTAAGAAAAGTTTTTTATCGTCCATCTTCTACAATCATTTTTTCTGCTATTCAATATTGTAATACAGAGTAAAACAAGAAGACCTGACAGATAAAATAACTTGTTCTAAATTTTTTTTTTATATATATATAATTTAATCACTTGTGCTAGACGTATAATATAAAAAAATTTTTTTTTACTTTTTAATACTGAAAATAAAAAATTTAAAATTTGATTAATTTTTTGTTGAAAATATTCAAAATAGCCGATTTGTAAAATTGATTATAGGAACAATTTTAATGGTAAAATAATTAATCTAAGTCAAGTAGTTTATTTTTTAGAATTTTTTAAAATATCGATATATTTATATAATTAATTTATAACCTTTTTTCAAAATATTATTTTTGGGAATTTCTTGACATGAGTAAATTTCATAGGTTCAACATTTTTTTCATTTATTTAAGTAGCAATTTTTTTTTTTTTGTCAGGTTTTCCTGTTACATTGTATATATTTAATATTACATATATTATATATATTTATGTATCCTTTATTTTATTTTAGAAAAACCGGAAAGCAATACCATGTTATTGGGAAAAACAACCAACTGGATGTCGCAAGCCATATTGTGCATTTCTACATACCAAAACCCGTGATCCATCTCAAGATGCAGGTATGCTGGAATAACCCTGTTTATTGTTAATTATTTTTATAAAAATTATACATAGAATATCAAAGACTGATCATTTAATAAAAATTTAAATCCATTTAATATTTCAATATCATTATTTTAGTTGTTTATTCATTTATCATAGCATATTAAAAAGGTACACATTTTGATAATAAGTTTGAGATAATTTATAGCTCAAATGTATTAAAATAATATTTACATTGAAGGTATGAACCAAGTTTTAATAAAATTGTCTCTATTATAAATTTATTATGTAATTCAATATTTTGCAATAGGATAGTAGGTCTAATGTTAAATTCAACATAATTAATAATAAAAAAACAATTTTTATTTATTTAATGTTGATTAGGGGCTATTGCGATGGCAGCTAACACCATGGCTATTGAAAATAGCTTTCGCATAAATCCAATGGCTGGTGTCGCACTTACTGCTGGTCCTGAAGCTGCATTGCGACAACGTTATGACCAGCCATTACGAATGAATTGACAACCAATGAACGCAAGTACGGCATCTACTGTTTATGGCAGTTCTGTCGTCACACTGCCATACGTATTCAACAATAATCAATCCACTGCTGCCATGTTTCTTGACCATTGCAATTTTAATGCGTTTATGTAAAATTCAATATTGGTATTGAAAACTTATTCTCAATGCCTACTGAAGAATAAAAAAAAACCTTTTCCTAGAAAATTTCATATTCTTGGTTAGGAACAAGGCAGAACTGTTTCATTCAACAGATGCAATATTCAACAACTTAAGGCCGAAGCTTGTTTATTTATTTATCTTTGTTTTTCTATTTGAACATTTTATTTTTATTTTTAACTATTGTTATTATTTATTTTATTTTTAAGTAATTTTTAATGAACATCATGTTTTTGTCTGCACTGTAGTTCATATAAAAAAACGTGTTGCATAATTCCACGTTTATTCAGCTCAATTTCTATTAATCTGATTACATTCTAAATGCTTTGAGAGAAGTCATGAACTAATGCTTTTTATTTATTTGATCTTGTTATTTATATTAACAACTATTTATGAATAGAAAATTCTAGTTTTTGTTTTGTTAAAAAAATTATCTAAATAGTATAAAAAATGTAAAAAATACATTTATATACATTATACATATATTACTATGACAATGAATTAGACGTGTCTAGTCTATGCACACTTAATACTATGAAACTGAATATAATGAAAAAATAATTACCAGTAATATAAGTTGTTATTAAATAGTTTAGTTTATGTTATTTATTTATAACTTTTTTTTTCCATTATTGTTCACTATTCTTGGGATAATGTAGTGCATCCTGTATTATCTGAGAAAAATGTGTATATTTTTTTGCTCAGTTCTGGTCCAATACGACGATTTGAAGCTAGTGGACCGAATCCACGGCGGACCTAAAATTTGTATTGATTTTTTGATTTTTTTCTAATATCTAATTTAAATGCAAATATATCTTATGCTATTTTAATATTTAAAATTAACTTACGGGGATATCCTGTAGCAATGTTTCTCCTTCTAATCTTGAGCTGCAGTTATCATATGCCTAGATTATAAATGTAATATTAATTATTATTCATAAATGCACAAAATGGATATTAAATGCATTAAGATAAAATATTTTTTTTTAATCTGTCTTTATATAATGAATAATATGTTTGTAAAACATAATATACATAACGTTGATAAATAATAATTTGTTTTCTGCTTACTTCTAACAATGCAATAGGTGATCGATATGCTGTTGCAATTGCTTCACTAGTCTCGAGACCACATAGTGGAAATTGCGATAACATTTGTCTCCATAGTTGAGTTAAACCTGTGCCATTTTTGTCTACTGTTACACAATTTTTTGTGTGTCCAGATGCATACCAATCACATCCTTCTTGTTCTTCTTTGTATTTATTCAATCTTAAAACAAATAGTCTATTAGATAAAAACTCATAACATTTTGAAATTATGACTAATCACTAAAAAAAATAGTTACTTGTATGGCTTCTGTGCAATGGATTTCGTTAAATAAAAAACTGCCAACCCTATATCATTTTTATTTTGCACAAAACGAAATGAAACTTGACAACTCAACATCATCTGTTCTAGGCTATTCAACATATCTGGCCTATTTAAATATTAAAGTTAGATATACACAAATTTTCAGAATCTATATCATAGACATATACATACCCAGAATTCTTCCCATTCTTCTTTGATTTAGTTTTTCTGTAACAAAATGGTTAAAAAAAAATAACATATATACACTGAGGTATATTTAGATGTAATTAAGATATAATAATAAAAGTATGTATAATATGATAATACATACTTCAGTTGATCAGCAGTACTATATATGATGATTGAAAGTTGTGTTTTATGCAGTTTAATATCATTTATTTTGTTTAATAATTGATATGATACTATTAGATTTTTAACATAATCAAATTCCCAAATTAACAACATAAAATTGTCATCTTCACTTACAGTATCAGACTAAAAAAATATAAATTAAATTATATTGATTTAACAAGTTCATAATTAGTTAACAGCTATGAACCAATGTTTGTTGTTAATTTTGTGTGTTAGATTCCAAGTAATAAAAAAATATATATTTAAACTGAAATTCACAATGTGTATTTTTTTTTTTTATTACCATGCTCTTAAATAATAATACGTATTTAAGGGGGTCGGAGCCGGTGCATTATTTGGTACAAAAACATGTGTTACAGGAAAAACTCACGCCTTGTAGAATTGTTGGATTTCGTTAATTTTTTTTATCTAAAAATAGAGAACATTTTATAGGTCGGATCAAAGCCTGATTTTGAAAATTATAATTATAGAAGCTAGAATATGCATTTGATAAATGCACAATATTTGTCCTTTTTCAAAAGTATTTTTCTACTACTATTTAAAGTAAAATATTGATCCGACCTGCAGAATTTCAGATTTTAGATAAAAAAAATTGACCAAAATCCGACATATCTATGAGGCATGAGAGTTTTTCCTATGAAAACATTTTTGTTCATCAAAATAGTGCTTTGATAATAGCCATCGAAGTCTAGCACTGAATTGTGCATGCGCATGTGTACATATCTTTATCAGCGCGTGTAATTATTTATACTTCACTCACACTAATATCGTTTTACATTCTCACACATGTACGTTCCTCGCAAGGCCGATACAACATGTGAATTAATTGCCTAAATTTTACTCCTTAATAAATAACGGGCACCAACACCCTTAAAGTAATTTATTATTTACTTTTTGTCTTGACCATGTTATTGAATTTAATACAGTTGAATTTGACTCAATTTTATATTTTGCGTCTGAAGATTCTATCTCGGATATTAACTGCTCACTATATTCATGATTCAACAAATTGATATCAATGTGAACAGTTACATACTAAAATTACATAATACAAACAATTTATTAAACAAATTAGAGGAATATAAAAAAAGTAAATATTTACATACTTTCATACATTCTTTTGGATTTATACGTTTTAATTCTTCAGCTAATCTCTTCTTTGCATCTTTTCTAGCCTTTTCTTCCTTTTTCCTTTCTTCGATTTCTTCTTTTGTTGAACGCTTTTTCCGTTTTGGCTCTATCTAGAATGTGAAAAATATATCCTTCATTAATATTTAGAAAACCATTGATTATAAATACTAATAAATAATAATACCCAAATGATATAGGTATGGTAAGTATTTATAATTAATGTCAAAACATTTAAAAATTCTATTTTAAAGAAAACCAATTTTATAATATTTCATATTTACTCTTAAGTCTTAACTGGTTTAAATACCTTTTCAGTTGGTTGTCCGTTGTTTGTATCAGTATAAATACATGGTTCTGTAATCTGTTTAGGATAAAAACAAAAAAAAAATGTTTAATTATATTTTTTTATTACACTTAAATCATATTAATAGTGTACAAGTAAGTACAAGTATGAAATTTTATGAAATAGTATATAACAAAATATTATACAATCTTGTTCTCGCATGATTTTTAGATGTCACTAAAAGGCTATTTTTTCCTTCTATAATGTTGAATAAATATTACATACTTACAGGTGCTACTTTTGGTTCTGGGGCTTCAACAAAAATAGAAACATGATTTTCATTAATCTGGACATCCTTCTGCTTATTATGGGACCTGTGATGTAATTCTATTTCTGGAGATATTAATTTTTTTCGTTTTTGCTAAAAAAAAACTCGATTATAATATGTAACAATCATTAAACATCATAATAATACACAATTCATTAAAATAAAATCGTACACGTTGTAAGACTTGGGTAAAAAATTCTGGTTCATCCTCGGATGATAAACAATTATCATCTTTGTGTGAAGTTTCATATTTTGTCCGATGATCCTCGTTTGTAACTGAATCATCCGAATCCGATATCGTGTACGTATTATAACAACCTTCATCCATTTTATTGACAAAATAAAAAAATAAAAATGTATTACACAAAATTATGATGAATTCCGAACGGTTGATGGATTTAAAGTTTGATGTCTCAAACATCCAAATATCCAATATTCCAATAGTCAATCCTCAATATTATGTAGTAGCCGGTAGGTACTTCTATTCAAAAAATAAAAACACGACAATTGATAAGTATTATCATAGAACAATGTATTATCTTTAACGAATATTTACGCGCCATTTTTTTAAAACTCGAATAACTGCCAACGATTCATTAGAAAAATGTTATCACAACATTTTGAATCCAAAAGTCACGTAATTTATAATATAGCGCTCAGCGCTCATATCGCAACTAACATTTAATATTATTTAATATAATATTGAGAATATTGTACTCGTAAAATAATAATACATCTAGGTAATGATGAAAAGTTTCAAGTTCTTTGCTCCTATTAATAATATTTTTTTTTAAATTAATTTACAACATAATAACTAAGAAGTAAGATAGTTATTATATAGTTTGAACTTTGAATACCCAATATCTTTAATGTAAAAATCTGTGCCTTCTTTAATTAATAATCTCTCACTCAAATGTATTATGCTTTAAAGTTAAATGCATAACTTATTTTTTAAAGTAGCAGTGTAGCACTAGAATGACGAGGAATCTTCTACAATCTACTGCTGTACTACATGTCTGCATTTCTAAGTTTTAGCACAGAATAGATGAAATTTTCATCTATTCTGTGGTTTTAGCCTGTAAGTGTTTAGTGAAAAAATTATAAATTTGATGAATTTTTAAATCCAAAATCCACATATCATTCACGAAGTTCCATCGATAGATTGCCATTCACATAACTACATAAGCCCCGTTTGGTCATGTCTGTAAATCCACAACATAATTTGTACTTATTGTCAAAATATTCCTTTACAGATTGTAAATTCACTTGTCAATCACCAGTTCAAAAAAAAAAATACAAAATACTTTACATACTTTCATGATTTTCACGAATTTTGTAAAACTTTTAAATTTTAAACGTCTATTAGAAAAAAAACTGTG